CCCACATTTCCTCTTCAGCCCCTATTGCTCCCCCAGGCCCCCCTTGGCCCCCACTGCTCTTCTTTAGCCCTCCTTGTGCCCCCACATTTTTCCCCTGGAGCCTCTGTGGCTCCTTCCTGCCCTCCTGCAGACCCCGAACCCCCCCTGTCTGTGCCCTCACAGCCTCCACTGCTCCCTCAGAGCTTCCAGGGAGCTCCCAGAGCTCCTGCACCCCCCAGAAACTGCATCCTGATGCTTCCCAGCTGTCCCACACTGTCCAACACTAGGATTCCTGAGCTCAGCTCCAGCTTTAAAACTTTTTTAAGAACAGTTTCTAAACCCTCAGCAAGTATTTTTTACTCCAAGTGGTGCAAACTGGAAATTATCCACCACCAGGAAAAGGAATGTTCAGTAACTGGTGTGACCTGAGTTTCCTCACAGCTCAGATTTCACTTGTAAATGGGGGTTTTATCACCTTCTCCTTTCTCTGAAGTTGTGTAGGGTCTCCTGAGGTTTAAGCAGGATCCAGGGAAGGTTTAAAAACCTTGGGATTAGTGCTGTTTTACACTGTGCCAAACATCCCTGGAAAAGCTAAATTTGGGCTGTTACCCCATTGGCCTCAGTGCCATGCAAACATAAAACAACAAATGCCCTAAAAACGGGTTCTTTTTCCCAGTTCTAAGGAGCCAAAAAGGAAAAAGCCAGTCTGTAATTCCTTGGGGAAAAAAAAAAAAAGAAAAAGTTGTAATCTTCAATTTCAGCACAAAATTGGGCAAAGAGGACCCGGGTAATATCCTTAATCCCCAGGATCCTTTGGGGGAATTCTTGAGCATCTCTGGGTGCCTCTGATACCCCTAATTTCCTGGGTCCTTTGGGGGAATTCTTGAGCATCTCTAGGTGTCTTTTATATCCTTAATTCCCTGGATCCTTCAGGGGAATTCCTGAGCATCTCTGGGTGCCTCTGATATCCCTAATTTCCTGGGTCCTTTGGGGGAATTCCTGAGCATCTCTGGATGTCTCTGATATCCCTAATTCCCTGGGTCCTTTGGGGGAATTCTTGAGCATCTCTGGGTGCCTCTGATATCCCTAACTCCCTGAATTCCTTTTGGGGGGATTCTTGAGTCTCTGCCCTGCCTGTGGCACAGGGATAACACCACAGGGATGCTGATCAAATTCCTTATAAACTTGGGTTGGGAGGGAGGCAGGAAGAGCTCCGTGGAAGCCTCCCCACACGGACTCTCCATGAATTCCCAGCACCTCAACAAGCCCTCATCCACAGCCTGGGGAAATGCCGGAGGCAAGGAACAGGGTTGGGAACAGGGTTGGGAATTGGGTTATCCTGCCGTGGCGGTGACGGATGAGCCCGGAATGATCCACCGTCCCTAATCAGTGCTCCATCTCTGCTTGCAGTGGTGGGGCCCGGAGCGATCCCGCAGTGAGCAGCTCCTGCAGTGAGGCTCGGGAATGGCCGGGGGCCGGCGGGGCCCCAACAGAACCTCCTACTGCCGGA